TACATTCAACAATGAAATGAACAACTTATATTTGTGCACACACGTTTCGAGATTACAACTACTGATCTTGATTTTAAAATATCTCCCTACCTCTGAAATTATGAAGCAAATGTGAAATCATATTTAACAACACCGGGATATAGGATTGAATGGAAAGAAATCGAGGCAAAATACGCAAAGGGCAAGAAATCATCATCAACAACATATTATTCTTCTGGTTCTGCTTGTGTAGAATATTTTTGTAACATCCCAATTTTTGGGTTAGTAGTTTTGGGTTTACCCAATAGGTAATTGGACCCTATGGTAATTTCAATTTAAGTCGTTGGGCTTAATTGAGATTAGATTTGAGCCCAATTAGTCATAAAAAGAGAATTTTTAAATAAGAGACAAAAAACAAAGGACTAAAAGTGCAACTATACCATTGAAGAGAAAGGAAGCTATTTTTTGGGGTTTTTTATTTAAGGTTCAACATTGGTTCCTATTTCCTATCTCCTCTTTTTTATTTCTTCTTCTTCAATTCTCTTCTTACTTCTCCTCTCCAAGCTTTCTTAGTTCAAGAGTTGGTAAGAGTATTTTTCTATACTCCTTTAAGTTTATAATCAGCCTCAAAAGCTCCCTACAACTCATTGTATATTAAGAAAACTTTTCATCTTTGTTGGCTAGAGGAAATGGATGGAAAATCAACGAAGTCTAAGGGGAGAGTGTTTTATGGAAAAAAGGATCTTCATTTCGGATTTCTAAAATCAAGGTAGTGTGTTTCTAATCCTTTAGATTATTCAAGTTTCATAAATTCTTGGTGTTTGCTAAGATTTGGATGATTGAGTATTTTAGGGTTCTTTTTTTATTTCTCAACCAAATCACGATTTGGGTGTTAATAACATGCCTTAATGATGCCTAATGGCCCTAAATAACTTACTAAAGCTTTTGAATAAGTTTAGAAACCAACCCATGTCGTTTGGAGTGATTTTTGAGTGAATCCCGAGCTTAAGCAAGTCATTCCCAGAAAAGGGATCGATCACTCGACCAAAGGGATCGATCCCAAAGTTTCTATTCAGCTAAGGATCGATCCCTTGGAGAAAATGATATATCCCTTCTCTATTTTGCTCGAATGAAAAAGATGGAACTTCATTCATTAAAGGTCCTAAGTGTTGTTGAATGTTCCTTTGACCGTTTAAAGTCCCTAAGATCTAAGGACGATCAGTAATAGTAAGACTTAGTCTGCGGGGGACATAAATGACCCAATATACCTAAAAACACTCGTAGGAGTAAGTTACATCGAGTGTAACCATATTAAGCGTAATACACCAAAGTATATTCAATCAAGAACGTATACGAATAATTAGGATCGACGATCGTTACAAGAGATATCCGGTAAGTGGTACGATGAATATGTCAGATTCAGTAATGACAAAAAGTATGGGGCTTCGAGAACGTCAATAAACTGGGAATGAATAAGTCGTTCCACTACTTCAAGGGTTTTGGGAGAAATATGATAAGAGCATTAGGAGTGTTGTTACCCAGTATAGAACCCGTGTCAGGTATCGGGTTGACTAGTGATTTAGTCAGTGAACACCAAGCATTATCGGCATATAATCGTGAAACGCTTAGAGATATCGCTGAAGTCAGAGATGACTAAAATACCCTTTAAGTGCTAATTAATCTTTACTAAAATACCCTTTAAGTGCTAATTAATCTTTCCTTAACATCTTAGGTGAGAGGACGAGTGAGATAGTTCAAGTGAGAAGAAATGACCTCACCTGACTTCAGCAAGATCAATAAGGAGTAACTGAGCTACTTTGATTACCTTAGAGGGGCATTGGCTAACGTGTGTTAAGACGTTAACTTTAGAGAAAGACTTATAATAATAATGAGATAATAATAATTATGTGATAACCATAAGAGCCTTATTAGGTAAGATTCCATAAGACTTATGCCCTTGTGTGTAGCTCGGGAAAAGGTGAGGACATCTGAGTTACTTTAGTAGTAAGACGGTCATCTTGTGTGCATAGAATATCCGAATGTATCCAAGTCAGTGCAAGATGCACTTTAGTCGCTAGTTGAATGTGGTGCTAATACTATATGACCCAGACACGTTCTGAGTACTCAATAGGAGTATACTAGCCAGATAACATGTCGATGTTGTGTGACCCGAACCTAGCCTAAGGTTTTGGGAGGTGCTGATGCTATGTGACCCATACCTCGCCTGAGATACTTGAGAGATGATGATGCTATGTGACCTAGGTCTAACCAATGTACCTCTATTTAGCAAACAGAGGTATGAGTTTCGTGATGCTATGTGACCCCAAGCTATATCACGATGCTTACTTATTGTTGAGTGATAGTAACAACATCTCTGTGATACCGGATACCGTCATTGTGTTTAGAATGGTGATGCATTATAGGATGTAATGAGGTAAGAGACCTAGTACTTGTATACTCATGGCGAGGTCCTTAACGAAGACTAAAGGAAGCATGAGACGTAGATTCAAAGGATAGAACTAGAGGACTTTACGTGGGTAGCACTGATTGGAATCATGCTTGTACCTTCTTCTTGTACTATATCTCTAGCATGCTTTAGTTTACGAAATTCTTATGCTGCTCTAGATTAGTGATTATACTACTGAGCTTTGTAAGCTCAGCCTTTGGATGTTTTCCGTTGGCATGTCCGTAGCTTGAGCAGTTCGTAGAGCATCATCGTCGCATGACTTCCAGCATCTCCAACAGAGTATTATACTGTAGCGTTAATGGGCATATGTATTCATATAACTTTACTTATGTGTTCATGCGTCACAGAGCTTCAAATTTGTAAAATATTTTTATAACAAATTTTTTATGTTTTATTATGATACCATTCAATACATTTGAAAAAAAATGAATAGGTTTTGAGGATCAGGGTTTACCTCGACAGCCCAACATGGCACTTTAAGCCCAAAAGTGTTTAGGGTGTTACAATTTTCCATCTCAAACCATTTATGATTTTTATCTCCCATATCATGCTTCAATGGAGAGTCGATCAAATTGGGTTAGAGGTTCATGGGATACGATGTAAGGTGCTCAACCATATTTGAATAGGATCATATTCTATATAGTCAACAAGGTACTGATTTGGTGACAATTTGAGTCAATGACATCAATTATGGTCGTCAAATACCTTAAATACTCCATGATCATCATTCGAAGGTGGAAATCAAAGTGGAATGATGTTTAGTACACCTCTTGTTGAAGAAGAAGCAAAAGAAGATGAAGACGATCAAGGCGACCGACTATGTAGAAATCGACAAGCCCCACGCCGTTATTATTCGACCACTCCTCGGCATCGTCAAGAATTAAGAAAATATAAGTATTTTTTATTTTATTTGTAGCGATTGTATTAGTTCAAAAGATTTTTAGGATAAACTACACATTTAGTACTTAAAGTATCAATTTTGGTCCCTTTTAGTATATAAACTTTTAATTTTTTCGAAACATACTTAACATTTAGTTTCTGTTTCATTTTAGTATTATGCCGTTAAAAACTTGACGTGTTTAGTACCTAAACTATCAATTTTAGTCCATTTTAATACCTAAACTTAAATATTAGTTAGTTTTAAATTCACTTGGAACTCGTCATATCAACTTGACGATTTCCTTTTTTAATTAATTTAAATTAAAAAATAATTTCTTAATTTTACAGAAAAAAATATTTTGTAAGGACTTATCATGTTGATGTGATGAATTTTCAAAAAAAATTAAAATATTAGATCCCACAGGACCCACTTATTTAGATCAATGTAAAAATATTATTTTTAATAAACTCATCGCGTCGACAAAACGAGTTGATCTTGTACTCTAACATTTGTCGTATTTACCAAAATAAAATATAAAGTGGCCTAATGGGCCAATTCATTTCACCACTTTGCCTAATGGGCCAATTTCACCGCGGCTAACTGTATACCCTGGCTTCAAATTGGGTTTAAGATCCGGTATATTCTTTAATTGTTTGATGCAGATAATTATTTTAAAATATATAAACTAAAATATATTAATAACATTAATAATTTAAAAAATGATAACTTTCAATTTTAAAATTGGATCGATATGTAGTAAAATATTTTTATTTTTACATTGGATTTATAGTATTAATAATTTTTAAAAAATGTTTTTGATACCATCAATTGATGACGTAATAAAAATACTAAATTTACGACAAAAGTTAGTGCCAATATAATTTAGTTCAGAAAGGCCCAATGGTCTAATTTTGTTGTTAGAATTATGCCTTTATCATTTTCAGCGAGATCCTCAAACACCAGCTCCATGTTGAAAGCCATACATGCACAACGCAGTTTTTTTTTTTTTTTAAACAGACTTTTTTCATTTGATTTACGCAGCTCAACATTTTTCTCATTGAAAGTGATTTTGGTTTTTCCTAATTCATATATTTGAAGAAAATTAAGACTTAAGAGCATCCAATCTTCATGATTAGAAAATATTTTGAATATGTCACCACAATTACTATGATAAAGTTAAGCAGTCACCATCTTGTGTTGTTTACGAAAAATGCAAAGCATAAATAATCGAATTTGGGACGAATCGAGCTCATTTTCCCCCAAGTAAATAAGTTGAAAGAAAGACTAACCAAATAAATTCAAGAAATTTAATTTTGGTCTCGAATCAAACTTGAACTTTAAAAGTAAACTTCGATCAGCTCGAGTCGTGCTTCAAGCTTTGAAATTCAAGTAATTCTTATAACATGAGCCTTAGCCAACACGTTAAGAGGAAATGAATTTTGAGATGCCATAATCGTCGCCTAAACAAAATCCAAATTACCACATTCCAATACCAGGTCATCTATTTCAGCCTCTATTCCCTCACCAAACCTACCAACCACCATTTCAATACCAAAACTAAAACCATCTTATAGATCCTTAATTTAGTAGAACAAGACACAACAGACAAAATTAACACTAAATGAACTTGAAATAGAAAAAGAAAATTTCATCTTGTACTAACTTCCAAATAAAGGAGAACTAGATGCAATGGAACAATTCTACATTTGAAAAGAAGTAAAGAACACCTTTAGACATAAGAAATAGAAAACAAAAATAAGAAATATAAGTATTGCACATGCTTATCACACTGAAAGTGGCAGTAATGCAGCACCTGACAATTTCAATCCTTCTTGTTACTAGCAAGCCTTGCACGATGTCTAAGCTCCGCCTTTTTCCATCTAACTATTAGGTAACACATGGAGAAAAGACTATTTATCTGCATAAAGCAGCAGATGCAGATGTTTAGATTAAAAAAGAAAAATCTAGAAAATAAGTTTCAAAAAAGAGGGCACAGAGCTCCTGAACACTGACCAAGATGATGATTGCGATAATAAGAAGAGGACCAGACCAGAGTACCGACAAAAAAAGTCCACTCGGATCAAAATAGTTTTGTTTAGCAAATTCCTTCCAGTTGTTACCAAGGAATCTATTCAGCGACTCAGCAAAATAAACACCAAGCACTACAAGACATCATCAAACAAATAAGCTACAACTGCAAAGTATGTTCAAAACAAATGAACTAAAATATTATTTTTACATTGCAGATATGTTTTGTGATGCATGTAACACAGCAGTGCCTAATCTGTTACAAAGAAAGCTATACTTATGTCTTATTGCCCAGATGTGCATTAGTATCCTGCTCACTGCTTTGGCATGTTTGATAACATTGAAACGCTTCAATATTGAGTTACTGCTGGGTTACTCAGGTGAGTCCGATTTAGTAAAGAGTTATTAATCAAAATTCCCAACAACCATTCAAAAAGTGAATCAATATACAGGATTAGTAACCTACAAAGCAGGAAGAGTATAAATATAATGATTTCAACTATTCTCTTGCAAAACCCTTCAATGGCAAGATGACCTTCATCCTGTTTCTACTTCACAGATTCCAAGCATGGCAGCACTAAAGCTTTATAGACTCATCCAAATATATTCTTGATCATGCTGCATGTCACGCCCCCTCTTTATCTATCTGAGTTTACAAATGACTTCACGTACAGAAACTTTAAAAAGATATCCGAAATAAGTCCTATCTTGGATCCCCTACTTTATGTCCCCCTACATACTTGATTATCGAGCCTAGAAATCTAAGGGCTAGGAAAAAACACAGAAGGAGGTGAATGTAATCTTGCATATGGAAATTGACAGGGTTATTTCACTTATCAAGTCAATTATTATCATTAGTCGAAATCTATTCAAAGTTCTTTTAGGAAAATATCCATTCCATTGATGTCTTCTCAAAGACTAGGCTTCTATTTCCAAATCGCCAGCTTGGCATGCAATATTGCCATAATTCCTATGATGTAAAACAGGAATTCGAATATATTTAAGCCACAGCTGTAGAATGAGACAACCACTTTTTTCTGCATAATATATTTATTTCTGCCAATTCTTTCATCATTTATGGATCTCTACTCTCAAGCGCTGACTATTGCTGGGACTAGTAAGATATGCAACTTATCACACTCTCCTTCTCACCTTTGGAGTTTAAGATTGCAAGAAACCAAATCACCTTTTGAAGTAAGACAAAAGTGCAAATGTTCTTAAATAGCCTTGCATTACTAATTGAAGGGCGGGTCTAGGAGGCATTGTTCACTGAAAGAAGCTGGCACTTCTAAATATTGGGAACTGTTAAGTTCCATTCAATATCTTGGAAACTCTATCACCTGTTCCAGGATTAACAACCAAGCTATTGGGCTAATTATAATCAGACCACAAGGGCAGTACGATATATTAACATGAAATGTATATGTCCTCAATCATTCAACCGCAAGAGAGAGTTCCTTTGAGAAGCTTCGAATTTAAATAAAGCAAGCAAAAAAGGTATTGGTAACAGACTACTACAAGGGGAGAGTTCAAAATATTCATATAGTGATGATGATTGAAGACAACTCGGAAACAAGAAACTTACATGCAAGAAGGAACAAAGACATCTGGAAATTAGTATTCTTCCTGGACAAGATGGCTACTATCAGTAAGAAAACATGGAATCCAAGCAAGCACATTAACCATGGTTCCTGACAAAAAGGGGAAAATGTAAGGGAATTGTTACCAGTAGATGGTGGATCAAGTCAAAATCTGCGACCCCCTCTCTCTAACAGCACAATAGAAAGGATTGTAGCATTATGAGAAAAATCTACTACGATGTTTCCATATTGATTATAAAGACTGTGCCTAAGACTTGATGCTAAATAGCAAGTCACAATGGCCTTAAGCATCCTATTTGAAGAGTTTCGAACATTCCATTACTAACAATGTGCATAAAATGAAAGATAAAAAAACTGTTTGAAAGTAAACATATAAGTTGAAAAATTAAAAATGCTTAAGTAACAGAAGCTGAACTCATAACACTCAGACATGACATTTTTAGTCGGCTAACCAAATATCATCGTCAACATTGAGCAGTGAAGGATCTAAACTCAAGAAACTGCCTATACACCGAACAGATCAGATAAAGAACTACACAAAGACATTATTCCAAGTTTAAACTTGGATTCAGCATTGTTCCAATTACCAATTAAAATGAAAAGTCGTCAGTCTCAAATACACTTAACATTTATTAACATTCACTTTGGTTACTGAGAAAACACTGAAGATAAAACAATCAAACATGGAAATTTTCAAACATTCAAAATCTCAAAATCTCTCTTTCACCCAAATCCGGGAAAAGAATCAGAAACTAATAAAGAAAGTGAAAAGAGAGGAGGCGAACCTTCCAGTCGATTGCATGGAAGAACCCCATAAAGTTATCATAGGTGGGTCGCAGGCCGGAACGAACCTCCGAGGATAGCTTCTGAACTAGATCCGCCATTAATTCCATGTGCTCCTCCATAGCTGATCTTAGCTCTTCCATTGCTCTTCTTTATTTCGAACAAATTCAGATCTCAAAAAAAGAAAGATCAAACAGTGAGCAAATGACGATGAAATTGGCAGCGTTTGCGTTTATATCATCGTCATTTTAGTTCTCTCTGGACTTTAGACGAAGAAGAAAGAAGGGCCGCGGTTGTTCTGGGGTTTATATGTCCATTGACGAAAATGTCCTTGATAGTTTGGTTCAAATTTGTTTACGTCCTTCGGGATGCTATGCTGATTGCTGACAGTTCAGGCCAAAGTTGAAGAGTAATTAAGATAGATTCTAGCATAAATAATTTTTTTTAGTTAAAACTGACTAAAACTAAACTCTAGCGATACCAATTTACTTGAGAAAGGATAATAAAATAAAATAATTACACAATTTGAAGAATAATTATGACTTAATTAAAAAAATCCAATTCATAAAAGGTTTATAATGGTTATATTTTGAGTTTAGGGATTGGTTGATTAAGCACAGAAATGATTATGATGTAGAAGCAAATATAATAAAAGAATTACAAAACTACAGCTGCAAAATAAACTTAACTTGGCCTCTTCTCTTTGCATGATTCATGCGGTAAGCAGATGAAATGCTATAAAATAACCTCGAGAACACCTGTAGTTTCGCTTTTATCTCTTTATCAGTAATTCTGTTCCAAAAGCATCCAAAGACATGCTACACTTTTAATCTTCTTTCTTCCGAGCTTCATGCTCGGTATCTGAGCTTTCACCGTCAGAGCTATCATCATGATCAATGTCTCGGCGAGTGTCAGCCCCACGAGGTTCATCATCATCTTTGCATAGGCTTCGGATAAGCATCAACAATGCAACCAAGAATACGAATATAACCACAGCTCCGATGCCGATTGTAGACATCATATGGTCCTTGAACGATGGCCCTTCAATCATTTTCTTTTCTGTTCTTCCCTCCCTGTATCCTTCCAGGAATCGTGAGATTTGAGACCCTTGATCTTCTTCATCAAGGCTTTCATAACCAATAACCTTCCACAAAATGCCGCAGATGAGTCAAAATGTCAGCTATTTTTCTATTTAAACGAATATCTTAGTTGAAAAATTAAAGTCAACCGCCATGGATTGTACAAAACCCCAAAGATATTCAGTACAAATGTATTAAAAATTGCTTCAGGATGAAAATTTTGGGCTTTTGAAAAAGAAATGGCGAAGTTCCATGAATTCAGGAAATCTGAAAAGAGTGACCAAAGCTTCATAATGCTTGATGAACATCAGCATATAAAGGTTGCTTCCTATCCTGTAATAGTGTAAGCAAATACGGAGCAGCACACTCATTAATTCGAATGGATTGCTGATATCGATAACAGTACTTGGAAAAATGCAGCCTAGAACTATGATGATGCACGTGATTAACATCCATGTAACACCAACAAAGATAACCAGTTTCTCTCTCTCTCTCTATCAATAGCAGTAAGAACTAAACAAAACGAAATAAGCACAATGTTTGAAGAGTTAAAACTTACTGAAAAGTACTCCTCGTCACCATTCCAGATTATCAGTTTCGGAAATTTTTTATTCTTATTGGCACCAAATGCATCAGCAAACTCTTCCCACTGTTTAACTCCAACATAGCCAAATACCAAGTCACGATTTGCAGAGGCAGCAGCCTTCAATAACTTGATCAATTTCTGGGATTTCTCTTCATTTGCATCCTCCATAATTGTTAAGACAATTTTTCTATCATCGAATCCTAATTGGCTCAGTGTTTCTTGGTTCATGGGCACAGCTAGAGGGAGCAAATTTTGCTTTATAAAATCACCCAAAAATTCATCTGCGTCATGGAAGTAAGAAAAGATTGCATTTTCTTTATGTAGCCAGAAAAGATTGCATTTTCTTTATGTAGCCAGAAAAGATAACATTACGATTAGCAAAAATCAAGCATTAGAGAAATTTTAACCAAAAAAGATAACATATGAAGGCGGGTTGACAAGTGTATAAAACTAAAAAATAGATCAAGATCATCATACCTGCTCACTGGAAAGGCTGGGGCAGCAGTCGATCCTATAATTTGAAGTTTAGCAAGAACTTGACTAAATTGTTTTGTCATGAGATAAACCCCATAAGGTCGAAAAAGGAAAATGGGTTGACTGATTCATGAGGTTAACCATTTGATCCGGATTAGTTTATGGGTATAGAAAAATGTAGGCACAAGGATGGAGAAATACAAGAAATAATTTATTTGAGTGTATGCACAAATGATAGACCTGTCAACATACCAGCGGCAGCATCTTAAGCACGATTGACCAGGGAAACCGAAAAGAATGATTCAAAGAAGTTTGCAATTACCATAAAAGTTTATGCATGACAAATTCAACATAAAGGAAAGTGGTTAATATTCATTTGGCATTATCTGTTATTTAATTTTCTGATATAACATATAGCTACGTTAGTGCGAAACTTCATTTCTTTTGAAGTACCCTTATTGTAACACTCAAGTCTAACACATGAGTACGAGAATACAGCCTTCAAGGACCCTCTAAATAAATGGAAAAACCGCATCTGATCTGACACTCATACTAGTGTAGTAATAGTATTGAATAGCACATGTTCTTTTTCATTGTTCCTATACAACAGCCAAACCCAAGGTGAGAACCCTAGATATCTGCCTTTTTCTTATTTTTCCAGTTTCCATTTGAGTTTTAGATTAATAAACCAACCTTGAATCATAACCACTAGATATTCTTGTTATAAAATCTAGCTCAAGTCACACTAATCAAATTTTTTTGACTATTAATATTGATTATCATATAGGAACAGACTAAAATAGTTGACAATGTCAACGCAATGGTATGAGAATGAAGGCAGCAATAAGGACTTGAGAAGATTTTAGTATCAGAACTATCGTTAATATCTGGCAAGTGGCAACCGAATAAACTAACCTTCAAATGGACCATAGAAAGTGCTCTGTTCATTATAACTTGGATGGAGAACCACCAAAGCAGGAACTTTGTCAAAGTCATACAGAACCATGGCATCCTCGGAGAAATCCTTAGCAACAGAAAACCATGCCTTCTGTTTATACTTGATGGCTAAATAAGATATCACTGTCTCATTCAAGCCAAAACCTAAGTATATAGGAAATTCAGTATCAGCTGCTTCAACAAAATCACTAATGGCGGAGTCGGAACCGAGAATAGAGACATCAGGAGCAACAAATTTCTTGAGATAATGAACAAGTAAATCCGGTTTCCTTGGCCCACGATAGTCTACAGGAACACCATGTATAAAGAGCTTGAGTGTAGGATATCCACTGCAAAATTAGCATTACATTATACCTATCATCAACTATTTATATATATAAAACTTATCTGGTGAAAAACACACTGCATATATTGATCACAACAGTCATATTAGGCAATTACCCAGGACCTTTGCTATGACAATATGAGTATATGACTTATTACTACTTGCATAAATTGTAAAGCAGATTCTAGCCGCGCTGGGACTAATGAATGAATGAAAATCATTTTAAAAGTGAAGCAGAAACAAGGCAATAGATGCTTACTCGATCTCGTATTTGCGAGCAAGAGTGGTGAATTTGTCAGCATCTAGTTTAGCTATCACTATGGGATCCTTTAATCCAGCAAGAATTGGGGCAGCCTTATCTAACTGCAAACCAAGAAACACAGTTGGAATATAAAATTCAAGTCCTGAAAATCCTAAAATGAAGATTCGATCCCCAAGCAAAATATAAAAAAAAACGGCTATAATTTCAAAGAAAAAACGAAAACCCAGATTTAAGAAACAAGCGAACCTGGGGTGAAAGGCGTTTGCAATGGCCGCACCAGGGAGCGTAGAAATCGACGAGGATGTAACTGAAAGAGGAAATAGCGGAGTCAAAGTTGGATTCGTCCAACTCCAACACTCTCCCATCTAATTTACCCTTTAACTGATCAGCTGCAGAACAAATTCCTGGTTTCAAATTGCATAACAGAAACAGCAAGCCGCATAAAATCGTTAGCCGACCCATCTTTCCAAACAAACTTGGACTCGCTAAAATATGAAGCTGTTGATTTATGGGTGATGACGAAGACTGAAGAGTCGACTGCACACCATCACCAATAACCGATCACCACCGCAATGGCACTGGCAGAATGACTATTTCTTTCTACATGCTACAGCTACAAGTTTCAGACTTTTTTTTAATCAAATCTATAAGTTTAAAACTAGAACGACTACACACACATATATCTTATTTGAAGTAAAAAAATATTTTTAAATATTATTTGAATCCTAAAAAAAACATATATCTTATTTGAAGTAAAAAAAATATTTTTAAATATTATTTAGAGATATTATAGGTGGAACGATAATATACATACATATATATATATATTATTAACCATGTGTTTAATTTTTTAAAACAAAAAATATTAACAATTCTATAAAAAGATTATATAAAAAATTGTATATATATATATATATATTAATAATATTTATTCAAATAAATTATCAATAATTATTTACATTACTTATTTTTAGCGGACAATTTCAGTTTTGTATTTTTAGATTTATTTAACCGGTTTAACTTAACACGTCAACTCATTATTACATTTCATTATACCATTTCTTCTTATAAATAAATATCTAATGAATATTCGAGGTAAACTCTAGTTCTCTTTAAAGTGACATTAGTTGTTTGAGGTGGCGGTCTAGGTGTCATTGTCTCTCTTATTCTTATTTTCTTCTTTTACATATTTTTAAAAAATTGATTTTATCTGTTTTTCTCTATGGTTGTGATAATTTATCATTTAGTGTTACATTCATTATAGGCATATTCTGATAAAAAAAATGTTGATAGTTTTTGCATAATTAGATCTCTTCTTACAACAATTTATTGATATATTCAAAACTGTTCGTAAAATATTCTACCGAATTAGTTCTCTAAAATCTCCAAACCAAACAAGACAATACCATTATCTGGTCCAAACAACGTAAGCTAACCACTTTTTATTTAAATAAAATAAGATTTTATTTGATAAAATTTATTCAATTAAATTTAATATATCCAATCATTTAATTTTTAAATATATTTAATAACTTAAAATAAAAGTTATCTGATAAACTTTTACTATGAAAAAGTGTTGAAGATGATAAACAGTCAACACTTAATTGAGAGTATATTCAATACCTTTCGTTCTATCTACTTACTGCAAGTATATCATCATATAAGTTTCACATTTATCAAACAATCTATTTGCAGTTATTTACACTATCATCATAGCAACCGAATCAAATTTCACACACAATTCGTAAAACAAAAACGAAAAGGCATACCAAGACTTAACATTGGAATATCGAATTCTTTTTAAAGCATTAAAATGAAGAAAAAAAAATCCAAAGGAAAATGGTGAAGTCAATAAGTGAAAGTAGGCAATTCAAGGAGCAGAGAAGGCAATCAACTACACTCATCAAACCAACTCCATTTTCCTATACTAGTTTTATGACATAACTATAGGAATAGGAATAGGTTGAAGCATCTAGCCAATCCCTAAGCCAAAACTGCAATATAAACTTATATTAAGCGCATGGACTCTTAATTCCAGAGATCTGTCAACTCTGATAACATAAAAAGAAATACACAGTGCAAATATAGTTTTAAAAGGCGCTAGACACACTGAGGCGCAAAAGATCTCTGGAGTCTAAGCTCAAGGCAAAGGCGTGCGCCTTTCCTAAGACAGACGCACTTTTTATGTTAAAAAATATATATATTAATTCCAGAGTATCTACACCCATTACCTACTAGTTCATCCCTAAAACACTTAATCTTCTCACCACTCTAAACTATTATAAAAAGTTAACTTTTATATTCAATAAAATTTATTAAATAAATATTATTTAATTTAACGTTTTACTATTTTTACAAACTTGAAACTATCATTATAATTATAGAAGAAAATAGAAAGTGCCTCGGCACAACTCCTAACAATGGTTATGATACACCGCCTCAGGAAGTCCAATTTGCTGTGCAAGCTGAGGATCGGCATGCTCTTTCATTCAAAAATAAAATAAAAGCAGTGTAGCTTTTTTGAAAATTGAAACTGCCATTATGATTAATAAAAGAAAATAAAGAGTGCTAGCAGGCGACCACTCCTAACAACAATTTAGCTTTATAACACTTAAAATAAATGTAGTGTATGATATAAAACATGAAGAAAAGAGAGTATCAAAAATTGAAAAGTTAAAAAAGAAATGATAAAACAAAACATGGTGGCCTTTCCTTTCCTTGCACCAAAACAAAGAGAAAGCATCAGATGTGTAGCCACAGTTTGGATCAGAAACAGTGTTAGTAGTATGATTTTGGTGGAAGAGGCAAGAGAGCGCTAAGCAGGTAAATTTATCTCTTACCCTTAAGGCGGCAGAAGTGCGGGCCTTGTGCCTGTGCAAAAAAGCCCCTGAAGCACGAGCCTGGGAGGGCTTCCCGTATTGCGCTGCGCCTAGCTCTCCACAGGCGTTTTACTTCGCACCCACCTGCGCCTGACGCCTTAGGTGCGCTTTTGAAAATCAAGGTACAAATTACATTTAGTCATACAATAAGACTATCTAGATACTTCAACCCGTTGGAATATGTGTCTAACATTAGTAATTTAGGGAACTAAAAGGAAGAATTCAAGTAAACTAGCTTAATTAAAACTGAAAATAAGATTAGAGCATAGACAAATTGCTTAGGGATCTAACCTTGTGCTTTATGTACAGAACAATCATTTTGGAGCAACATAACTTTTCATATCCAACTGTTCCTTTTTCTTTGAGACATCCAAAACCAATCAGACAAAATTTACCAGCTAGTCTTGTACTGAAGAAAATAGCAAAGAATCAATCAGTTACTCCATCTTTATGCGCTTCGAATGTGTTTCTTCATCCAATCAAGACATTCCTCTGCAGTCCCAGAAGAGTGTGCCAGCTGCCATGAGAGTCTTTTGTTGCTGCCAAAGAAATAACAGATTAGCATTTCAAGTTCTAGATTATGTATATAATTTATATAGGATAGCTGATTATGCCCTACTAACACCCCCAACCCGTACCCGACCCGGATACAAGTTTGAAGTGTCACATTGACTTTTCAAACTTTGACTCTTGACGAAAATCAAGGAAATTTTAAACTTTCATTAAAATAAAAGTTGTTAATCTACATAAGTTGACCAAAACAAAACAAAATCGATCAGAGCATTCATAACTAACACCTTTCTTACATGCCAACACACTATACACAACAAAATACATACTATGTCCTGACAGCTCGAATAAAATCCCACTAGGGGCACTGAATATTTGTCCCGAATGACCACTATGTCCCGAAGGACCACTGTTAATCCCTCGACTCTTGGCATGCCAATTATACCTACAACTCTCATATTAAATAACATGGGCTTAAATATGAATACATTTCTCATTTCATATCTCTTTCATCACTTTTCATATAAATACGTAATTCAGTTCACATGCATACATATGATCACTTCCATTATTTCACTAACCTGAATTGATCTCGTATCATTGAATTCATTCATATAATTTCATATTAAAGCATAGACGAATTATGCATAAAATCACTATAACAATAATAATATATATATAAATGCATGTACATGAATGTAAAATCATAAATTCAACTATAAGAGATAGACTTATCGCAAGTCTTATCTGCATATAACTCTATCTAGGATATACACTCACCTTATCCTTGTTTGCTTTGACTCGATCCTAATCCTTCGATTGTTCCGGAACAAGATTACGTTCTATATCTACATAGTAATACATTGATACATATCAGTATACTAATTGATATATTCTAATCTATCACTTCTTAGACTAAAAGAAAAGCTACTTTCATCTCTTAAATAAGGTAGGTATCGACGCACTCTACAGTGTATTGATGCATCCCTTAACGTGTGCATCGATGCACTACCTATGCATCGGTATACACATTACATTCAATGTTTTCATCTTAAGGGGGTGTATCGATGCACTACCTATGCATCGATGCACTAATCGCATTCGATATTTTTATTCCGTTGAGACTGCATCGGTACCCATTGAATGTGTACTGATGCACACAACCCAAAAATTACATTTTGAGCACGAAATTTACTTCCTTTTCAGCTCAACAATTCATATTTCACTTCCCTTAATATCCCTAACTTGCATACATATACTTACACTCATTACTACTCAATAATCACTCCTTTAAACTCAAAATCCTATCCTTTATATGGCATTCAAAAATCATACTCAAATATCAACATGTTCTAAATCTAATTCTAACACTTCATATTACTTAATCAAGTTAGTGACAAGTCAAATTCAACTTCCAATTCTAATTATGAACTTTATTTCAAAATTTCATTCAAGAACTTCTAATCTTTAATTCTTCCTACACCCTTCATCTTGTTGTTTTAAAACAAATTAAGCTTTCCTTAAGCTTAATTAGCATCTAATGATCAAAACCAAACTTAAATTTCAACAAATAATCAGCTCATGAGAAATCTCACCTTTGTTTTGAACCTTCACGTACAAAGAAGAAGAGAGGAGAAGAGAACTCTGGAAACCTTGTTTTTGCTTCCCTCACTTCCACGTGTGGCTAATATATAACCAAACTTAATTATTTTCCTTGCAAATGACCATTTTATCCTTCTATTCCTCCTCCTTTTCAATTTGGTCCCGGTATTGAGGATGTTACATACCCATTCCCTAACAAGTGGCCCTCCAACTTTAAGCTGCAAAACATTCATGATATCCTTCCCATTGACCAATGGTTTTAAATCCCAAACTTTCTCAAGACCTGCATTCATGCAAAATTTGAAAATCAGATGCTCGCAATTCAGCTTGAACAAATTAATTGACCATCAGACATCAGAAGATCTAAAGAGGTAGTGCTTGGACCACAAAAGAAATTTATAAATGCAAAAGAAAATTAAACTCTTTTCTGGCTGTCTGGATGACAACGCAAAAATAATTTTACAGTTTGATATATGTAAACAAAATCATAGTCAGCAACCAGACATTAGATCTTGTAATCGTTTAATATCAAACAAAATCAGGGAAGTAAGAACCACGTGAGTGGAGCAAGAATAGAAGCAGCATGATTATTCTGTTCTGCTAGGGAACACTAAGAACAAGGTCTATGTGAAAGATTATAATTCACATGAATAAACAAAACCCAAGGGATTGTTTAACCTCTTAATTAAATAGACCAGGAATAGGAGTTGCAGCAAGGATTGAACATAAAACTTACAAATAGGAAAGAGAGAATGTTGATACCTAATTTAACAATGGCATTCTCGACTGACTCAAATATGCCTTTTCTCTTGTCCAGTTGAAAGTGCTTGTCTATAATATCCTTACTGCAATCAATATCAGTGGGATATAGCAATGTAGACATCAACAAAGCAACTCGCCAAAAATCTTTAATTTCTCTGAGCAGAAACCCTGTATGTATAAGAATAATAAATTACCAAAGTAAAATCCAAAAAGCACTCCAGTTGTTGAACTGTTTTAACAGTGAAAAGAAAACCAAGTTGATAGACAAAGACATGTAAAGATGAGCGAAGTTTTCAATAGAAATAACTAATTATGAGAAAGCATAAATATCCTAAACAGATTGAATCCAAGATAAATGATTGAGCATTCAAACCATGCTCATTATTCTAGTTCTAGAATGCATGTCCAGAAGCATATTTCTCAAGGAACGCTCCAGCCTCCAGGCATGCTTTGGTCAGTTCCAAAAGAAAAAACGTTCCCCAGCAAATTTTTTATCCAGTTTTGATGTGTCATACTTAAAACAATACTGCTATTATCAAATATATATATATATATATATAATTATAGTACATATAATAAAATATATCAATTCTCACTAGATGGTTATATAATGAAAAGTCAGCTTTCTGAAGAACCGACTTATAATGAACTTTTCTGGAAAATCTATCTTAGAAGAGAAAACAAATTACACAGAGAAAATTTTAAAATAGAAACCTGTCAATACCCGCAATTTTGAAGTATAGGGACATCAAATTCTTCTCCCCAGCCAACCTCAGTGATTTGGACATCCTCATTTGATAAAAGAGAAGGAATCAAGGACAATAATTTCTCCAATGATTTGTGGATGCTTATGACCTACAAAGCAAAGAGATGGGTAATGAATGCTAAAAGAAGGCTGTCAATTCAGTTTATAACGAATCAATCCTAAGAAAAACAAGCAATATGAAAGGAGATGAGGAAATCTATACTCACTGTGTCAGCATCACTGGCTTTTCGCTTAAGAGAATCCCTGAAAATGTATTTGACCACATGAATCTGCAGCCCAGTTATACAGGTTTAGAGTCATAACAGCAACTCATGGATTTATCATAAACAAAAATATTTTGAACAATATAAACCAAGCAGGATGAAGAACATCTTATTCAACAAATACTTGTCAGTAAGTGCAGTGTCCAATATATAGAAATAATAATGATAATAATCAACTGCATTGTATATATAGAACCTTATCAGAATCTCGCACAATGCTCTACCTAAATAACAAAAAAAGTGATACCAAAAAGAAAGAATAAAGCCTTCATGCATAGAAGCTTATGGAAGGAACAGGATTGGTGCCATTATATCTTTACGATCCTTGTATGTGGCACCAGGGTTTTAAATAGCGTTCGCGGTCACGTTTTTGGTTGCGTCGCATTTATCGCGGTTGCGGACATAACAGATGCCATCGCATTCACTGTGGGTGTCGCGGTCGTGAATTTTTTTAAATTTTGCACAACTTATCTTTTTTTTGATAGGAATAGGAGGTCTCATTAAAAACCTCCCTCATAGTTGGCTCTTGTGAAAGAGGCAACTAGCGGAAGGAGGAAAAGAGTACCTCATTATATTAAAACCATGTTTACATAAGATTACAGCTTACTAAATAAATTGTCCGAAATAAAATACAAACCAAAACGACCATAAAGCTCAAACATCAACCAATACCCTCTTTAGCTAGCTTATCAGCCTCCCAATTGCGTGTCCTAGGAATCCATCTAACAATAATACCCCTAGCAGAAACTAAGGCCTCAATTTCCCCAACTAAAGTATTGAAAAAAGTAGGGGCAGAAAATGGCATCAAAATCCAGTCAACTGCTGTTTTACAATCTGTCTCAAGGATTAGTCTTCCCTTCAGAGCCCATTCGGAAGAAATGAATAGATCAATCCCTTGTTTAATAGCTTTTAGTTCAGCTAACATAGGAGGACCAGGTCCAACCGCAAAAGAAAAGGTATATAAAGTAGAACAATCCGAATCTTTCAAGACTCCTCCAATACCTCCCTGCAGCCCATCACCTCTTACCGCACCATCAACATTGAATTTAAAGAAATTCGGAGGAGGCGGAGACCAGTTAAGAACCTTCTCCTTATTGTAGGATTTTATAGGCAAATTGTCTGCAAGCGATGGATCCCCTACTAGTAGGTCAACTTGAATATTAGCACGAGGAAATTTCGCTAAAAACCATTTAGCCAACCTAAACCTGGAAATGAAGAATAGGGATAAATTATCTAATGTCCAGTTTTCAAAAACCACTGCATTCCTAGCTTTCCAAATAGACCATAGAACAACACCTGGAATGAACTTCCAAATATTAGAACACTCCCTTAGATAAGACCAAGAGCAAAGAAAGGAAGGAGGATCTTCGGGCATGACCGAAGAGATGTCCCAAAACCTTAAAAATCTATACCACAACTCCTCTGCAATCGAGCATGAAAAAAACAGATGACGAATTGATTCCTCATATTTGATGCAAAAAGGGCATAAAACATCTTCTAGATTGACCTCTCTTTTCTTCAATTCCACTCTTACCGCCAATTTCTGATGAGTAAACTGCCATAGAAATGTTTCCACTCGAGGAGGAGATAATCCGGACCACACCCATTTCTTCCATTGAAAATGACCTCCAGTTCTGCTTGAGATAGTCATTCTACAGGATTTTACCGAGAACAAACCATCCCCTTTCCCCGACCACCCCAGAAAATCATCCACTGATTCATTCGGTGTTATGTTGTCAATCAAAAGCATTAAGGAAAGCCACTGATCCAATTCCCAGTCACAAAGGTTTCTCCTTAGCTGAATGTTCCAAACCCAACCATTAACTACAAATCCACCAAATTCAACCAATTTTCCCCTTTTGTTAGTCGACAGAGCATAGATTCTAGGAAATTGAATCTTAAGAGTAGATCCATTAACCCAAATATCATTCCAAAAATCAATTGACCTACCATTCCCCATTTGGATCTTCGAATTGGATCTCAAACAATCCCCAATCTCGTCCTTTTTCTCATAGTTACTCCGAATTCCTCTCCACACCCATGAATCTTGAAGAGAAACAACCTTGCCTATAGACAGAGAGTCCATACTGACATTATGAATACAACAAATCAGTTTTTTCCATTGAGAATCTTTGTCATTTGCATACTTCCAAACCCATTTCCCTAGCAAAACTCTATTAATCATACTTAAGTCCAATACTCCTAAGCCTCCTTCTTCCAATGGTTGACAAACTATACTCCAATGAACCCAATGAACCCTCTTCTTGTCAGATTCTTCACCCCAAAGAAATCTTGCCAATACTGAGTTAATTTTCTGATTGACCTTAAACGGAATTTTGAAAATGGAGAGGTAAAAAATAGGTAAGGAGGACAATACCGATTTTATCAACACCAATCTTCCAGCCAACGATAAAGAAGCAGCTTTCCACCCTGCTAATCTGGTGAAAACTTTATGTAAAACTGGTTCCCACAATAACTCTGAATTTTTCTTTGTTCCTATCTGAAGACCTAGATAAGTCATAGGAAAAGATCCCACTCCACAACCTGCTTCCAGTGCTAAATCTTTTAGTTTGTTTTCTGCCACATTAACACCAAACAATTTACTCTTGGATAGATTAAGATGAAGCCCTGAAATTAAACTGAATACCCTCAATACTCTCTTTAAATTCAGAATTTGAGTTGAAGAATCTCTGCAAAATAAGATTAGGTCGTCTGCAAACTGCAGATGAGTCAACTTAAAAAGATTCTCTTCAATACCAATATTGAATCCTTCAAAAAGACCAAGGGTAGCAGCCTTACTCAACATTAAGTTCAATAGCTCACCAACAATATTAAACAGAAGAGGAGATAGACTACAACCTTGTCTCAGCCCTTTGCCCATCTGAAATTCTTGAATAGGGGAACCATTAATTAGGACTGAAATTGAAGCAGAAGAAATACAATAATCCATCCAAGAAATCCATTTGTCTCCAAAACCCATTATCTTCAATAACCTCAAAATAATTGGCCATTCCACTGAGTCAAAGGCTCTGCGAAAATCTACTTTAAAAACAACTCCTTTCCTACCTTTCTTCCTCCAGTAATCTATAGATTCATTTGCCATAAAAGCGCAATCAATGAGATGCCTACTCGGAATAAAGGCGAATTGTAATGGGCTGATCAAAACTTTAATAACAGAAACCAATCTCCTCGATAAGATTCTAGAGATAATTTTGTACAAACTTCCAACAAGACTAATTGGTCTATAATCTTCAATAACTTCAGGGTTGAGTTTTTTAGGAATCAAAGTAATGAAAGCATGGTTGACCCCATGCTCCCAACTCATTCCTCTGTGAAAGTCATCCACAAACTTCATTAAATGATCCTTCAAAACAGGCCAGAATTTTTTAAAGAAACTCATCGTGAAGCCATCTGGACCCGGGGCTTTGGAGCTGTCTGAGTGAAACACTGCTTCCCTAACTTCATGTTCTGAAAACCGTACCTCAAGTCCATTTTTCTGCTCCTCTGATAATGTCATGAAATTGAGATTAATGTCCTCTACCTCCAGCGTATTTTTAGAGCTGTAGTTCTCCTTAAAATACTCAAAGGCAAATTTTTTCAGCTTCTTCGGATCAGAAATTTCTTCATCAGCCACTCTCAGGGCCAAAATTGAATTCATTCTATTTCTATTTAAAGCTGTTAAATGGAAAAACTTTGTATTCCTATCCCATCCTTGATCCACTTCAATCTTGATCTTTGTAACCAAATACTCTCTTCCCTCCTATGCAGCTTCCATAATTTATTCCTGGAGAGAATCAACAAATCCCTTTCTTGAATGGAAATCCCTCCTTCTTGCAATTTGAATTCCAGATCATTAATCAAGTTTTCTAGTTGAGAAATTTTTTCAGAAATCCCCTTTTGAGTCGAAAAAGGCCTATCCCTGATCTTCTGCTTTGTTCCTCGAAGTAGAGAAAATAGACCCCTTCGACCATTCGCCTTCACCGTAGACAATGAATTTTCAATCAACTCAACAAACCCGTCTTCCTCTAACAAATAGTTGTATAATCGAAAAGGTTTTGGTCCCCAATTGTTGCATTCTTCTACTAACACCACAGGATTATGATCCGAAAGGGATTTTGGGAACATTTTTTGGATCATATTAGGAAATTGATTTAGGAAAGAACCACTGATAATAAACCGATCAAGCCTTACCCAAGTAGGAGACTCTCTGTTGTTGCACCAAGTATATCTTCCTCCAACTAATGGTAAATCCATAAGATTAAAATGTTGAACAAAGGATCTAAACAAATCCATGGAATGCTAGTTTTGAGCTACACCGCATTTCTCCCTTGTATCCAAATAAGCATTAAAATCCCCTCCTATGCAGATTGGCAGGTTTAAACACTGCACAAAACACATCAGCTCCCTAAAGAATTCATCTTTATCCGCTTCAACTGTTGGACCATATACATTTATTAAAACACAATCAAAATTATACAGCTTGAACTTTCCTGATAATGCTATGAATATGCTATGTTTATGTTCGGCATTGACCACAAAAACACTATCATTCCACAAACTTATCAGACCTCCTGCAGAACCCTCAGCTGGAAGAAAGACATGACCTTTCAATAGATTACCTCCTAACCTCCTCCATAAATTGCTTTTACAAACATTCAGTTTTGACTCCTGTAAGAATAGGATAGACGGTTTCTCTCTAGTAACGAGTCTGGCCACTGCTCTTATTTTTTCTCTTCTCCCAAGACCTCTAATATTCCATGTGATTAATTTTAACTTAGACATAAAATTGACAATCATAAACTCCACATCAAACCAAAGAAACCATCAAGGTCATTGAGAAGACCCCTTCAATTCCATCCTAAAAATCTCCTCCTCTAGTAATTGCTGCCCCCCTTTAAAGGTGATCCCCAACATTTCACAGACCTCCCTACTAGCAGCAGCTTCAATCCTAGCTTTAACAGAAGATTGGGAATACTGAGAAACCTCCCTGACTTGCTCCACTGACTCCCTGACCTTACTTCTAAGAACCTTTCTATAAACTCTATCATAGAAGCTGATAGACACTTCAGTATCCGAGCAAACACTTCCTGATCGACGAGGGGCTATTCTCAACTTTCGCTTATTAAGGCTTTTAGACCGAGGAATACACTGATCCTGCTGAATAATAAGAACTAGATGACTTTCCTTTGCTTTAAACTGGTCATCTTTCTTGTGGCATGGAGTACTTCCCTCTTGAATCTCATTATTTCTATTCTTTGTACTCGAACTTGAGAAGATTTCCTCATTAGAGTTACATAAATTATCATTCATAACCTTCTCCATCTGCTTACCACCTTCCGATTTATCAACTGTACATTTAAACCCCTCTACATCATTATCAATCTGCAAACTAATAATGTGGTCCCCCTCCAGGCTTTTTGAGCCAATGTAGTTATGCTTTCTTATAACATCTCCCTGTTCACTTGGATTCACTTCCTTTCCCCCCTGAAAATTGACTTTCGCCCCCCTATCCTCCCCCTCATCAGCAGCACTCAAGTGAATTGTAGGACTGACATTGGGTTGTAAGACAAACTTGTCCCCAACCCATTTAAGATTAAATGCTGGCCCACTGGGAACCCATTTTTTATTTCGAAATAATGCAGCCTCATTTTCCTCAGATTGCACTGAGTCTACCGGATCAATTGTATCTCTCAATCCCAAGCCCAAGTAATTGTCATTATGACTTGTCTTAATTCCCAAGAAACCTGACAACCCACAATCAGAATTATCTGCTGTTGACTTACTCGATTGGACATGTCCCCCACTGACTCCATTCACTCCACTGTTCTGCCCACAATTTAGCCAAGAAATGACTTTAAGCCTAGCATCCTCTGCAGACTCATCCCTGTCTTCAGCCCGAGTAAGATGTCTGCCAGATCCCACCTCTGACACGACATGACCATTGTTCCTCTTTTTTGAAAATTTCTCCATCTTCTTCCTTCCCGCTTCTTCCTCTGGTTTAATCAAAACAGATCCCAGAGTGATCGTAACTTTGAACGATCTACCATACGAACCAATCGTCACTTTATCAGGAATATCATAAGGACTTTCCACCCTGAGCAGAACTTTTGCCGTCGAGAGGTCCGATCTGCTCTCTGAATCTTTGTTTAAACATAGAAACTGACCCCACTTCCTTGTAAGCTTTCTTAAGAATGCCTCATTTCAACACAGTAAAGGCAATCCAAATAACTCAATCTGGCAAAGTGCCGACGGAACTCCATCCTCGTTCAAATCTGGGGCTAACCAATCAAAGCATAAGAACAACTTTTCCTTTTTATTCATCCATACCTGTGAGGCCTCCTCCACCGAGTTGAAAGTAATTATGCATGCATTCCATGCATAACCCCATCTAACAACTTGAACTTCCATGCCTTCTAACTCCAGAGCGTCCTTCACCGAGTTATGTTCAAAAGAAGACTTCATTATCCCTGATAGTGAACGTTTAACCCATTTCGAATTATCTGATGGAATATGCATGTCCCAAACGTTTCTCACAGTTGGAACACTCTGATTGTTACCCGGCAAGTTTGCCCCTTATACTGTTTTCCTTCTCAAATCATAATCAGAGTTCACCACATCCTTATACGATCTGTTATCTCTCAAGCTTCTCAACGACACAGCTCTCCTCCCCGATCCTGGTGCATCTTTAATCTCAGACCTGATCTCCAACATTCTCTTCCCCTCCACAGCTTCCCTTCTCTTAACCTTTTGATACTTAGCGATCCCTACTGAGACTCTTCTTCCATCAAGCCACTTCCCATTCACGAACCGGATTGCCTTGTTTCTACTTTCCTCACGAGCATATTGGACGAAAGCAAAAGTAGAAGATTTATAATTTGGTTTTTCTAAAAAACGAGGGATGAAAATCCTCAAGATCTGACCATAAGGACTAAAATAATTCCTTAACACCCCTCTGGAAACACTTTTGTTAAGATTATCAATGAACATTGTCCATTCCTCATCAGCATCAATGGAAATTTTTGACTTTTCTCTCACTCTCTCTCTACCTAACGCGCTCATATCTCTCTACCTACCTACTAGCTTGCACAACTTATCTTAAAACACAATAAAAATAATTACAATTATAAGGAATCATTTTTAAAGATTTTAAAATGTTTTCTAAGCGAAATTGACATATATATAATATAGTTTAACCAAATAGAAGACTTTAAAAATCCGATGATAGGATAAGATAATCAATTAACGATGACATGTGATTTTTAATATTTGTATGTTTTTTTTCAGTTTGGTCTGAATATATAAAATTTAACAGGGAAAATTTTCAACTTTAATATTATTGTGCGTCCTATTTAAGAACTCTAAACTCCAATCTATAACATTTAAACTCTAAAATATAAACCTTAAATTCTAAAATGATAACTCATAAATCTTAAATAAAATATATGACAATATTAGAAGTTTAGAAGGTTTAGAACCTAGCTTGTAAAACAAATTTTCATCAGTGGTGCATGAAATAATTTTTCCTATTTTCTTTTTTTTAATAAAACTCATTAGGCCGAGAAGTTTCTAAGCTCTTCCCAGTTCCCACTTCTCTCAAACCCATCTTCTTCGTTTCTTCCCATCCCCATTTCCCAGTTCAAATTTTTCAATTTTCACCCCACCCATTTCACTCTTCCATGTTCGAAACCCCAAATCTCTCTAGTGAAGATTGCATCTTCTATACGGTTCGAAACCCCATTTCACTCTTTTTTGTTTTTCTTAACGGTTGAATGGTTGATTGCAGTGAATCAACCACGGTTGAATAAAGGTGATTGCGTCCCATTATCGGCGCAATCGTCCGTTTCTCGTTAAATTGCGGGCGTAATCGACCGCAATCAGTGTGAATCCGTGACCCACCGCAAAAACCATGAATAGCGGTTTCGGACGGTGGCACGACCGCAATATCGCGGCCGCTATAGCGTTTTCGGAACGCTATTTGATACCCTGTGTGGCACTGCACAATGGAAGAAATAAAGCAGAGTACAAACAGAGCCTTCTCTGTTCATCCAACAATTCACATTCCATAACTCAGAAGATAACAGAACACATACCCAAAGGAAAATAGAGAAAATAAAAAATAAATGAAGCTGCTGCCAAGTGAGGATGATAGAAGCTAAACGGAGAATGAAAAAAAAAAACTTTTAGATCTTCCATTACTCACATCAAAGTTGGAGCATCCATTAAGTTGAATAAGTTGCCACGAAGCATCCAAATAGGCAGCAGAAAGCCTGTATAGTTGTAAAAGGAACAATACTTGACTAGGAAACTCAGAAATTTCAAAAAGAATGTTCAGTACACTTGGGCATTCTTCTGGCCCACTAAAAACAATATCTACAAACGCCAGCTTCTGCCTACCCCAAACCAACTACAGATAAATCAAGCACCAGCCAAAAACCAAACTCAACCTATATTTTCTCAGTACACTTGGGCATTCTTCTGGCACACTAAAAAACAATATCTACAAACGACAGCTTCCATCTACCCTAAACCAACTACAGGTAAAGCAAGCACCAGCCAAAGACCAAACTGAAGGTATATTGCCTTGACAAGGCATGGTCCTGTACACATGCTATGTCTGTCACAAGTACCTCAAATTTTTTTCCTCTTTAGCCTTAGAGAAATGAAACTTAATATATTATATATCAGTTACCTTGAATCATTTAATTTATCCCCCCATATTTAAAGAAGTGCAACTTAATATCTTGTCAATTTGTGGCACTTGACATGCATCCTCCAATTGAAAAAAAAAACAAATATAATATTAAGAAAAAAGCAAGTCTAGAATGAATAATAAATAGCATTATTAAATTACTAACAACCTATAGCATTCTTCTGATACAGCAGGCTCAACCTTCGGAGGGAGATTGACGATCCAAAATAAAGTCAAATCACAAATGTAGTCGATTGCTTTAACAGGTTGGTTTCCGGAGATCATAAGATCAATCTGCACGGAAGACAAGCAACATGGAAAAAGAACAGTTAATAAGTTTAACAAGGTACACACAGTAGAGAATATTCTGAACAGGTTACCATGAATATCCGGAAAATATGATTTTATGCAGAGCAACAAAAGTGCAAGACATGAAATAACATACTTCAGTTCCAATGCGCTCTCTGCAAATTTTTGCTGCAAGAGCTGTTTTGACGTCATCACAAGCAGAAGCTTTCTTTAATTCTTCGTCCAGTATGAAATCAAACTTTGCACCTAATCAACAAAATAAAGTCATATAATGCATCTCCTTTGGTGTACGTATATTCAGAGGTCAAAAAACAGGAAAAGGGTAACCATGCAGCAATGATTGCACGAGGAAGTTGCTAGAAGCATAAGAAAGTCGGCCTGCTTTGCAAAAGAACAAGAATCCAAGCATTTCAGAAATTCTACTTATTTTATTTTCTTATTCTGTTCATAGATAGAATTAAAACAGTCATTCAAACATAATTCAGAAGCTATCATTCAGCAGCACAACACTTTTTTCTATAGTTTCTCTGCCTAAGACTTGAATTCCTGATATAATCTCAACTTATCTCCACAACACTAGCTATGCCTCCGACTCCAAATTCTTACATGCTGCACTCGTGGTTAGAAAATGCAATGCTAATAAATTTCATTTAAAAAGAAAAGGGGGGGGAGAGAGCACAAGAATGAAGGAAATTCCCTCCATGATAAACAATCAAAGGGTGAAGGACACTAGAGGGAAAAAAAGTACCAAAACGAATAGCTCAAAGAACCCTTAGGGGATCATCCAAAAATGTAGCCTTCGGAGGTAATGGAGTCACTATCCTTCCAAATTTTAGATCCTCAAGTCCTGTATTTTATTAAATGAGAAGGAATAAAAATGAAACATAAATGCAACCCGAGAATATGTGGAATTATCGAAAAATTAAAATCAGTGGGCAGAAGGTATTACCACTTTCAGTTAAGTCTTCAACTAAGTTGGTGTTAATGTTGTAGAACAAGCTGGTAAGTGAGGAGAAAACTCCATTAATTCCGTGAACACAAATGATATCAAGAAAAAGGCAAAAAAAAAATGTTCAAAAAAACATTATTATTTGAATTACTCATTTTCCAAAAGCTAATTATACTCAGAGAAGTATAATGATCATTTCCTAGCTATAACACGTGATTAAAAGGAAAGAAGCTTACCTATTAATGGTCAAATCCCTTTGGTACGCATCCTCCTCAGCAGTACCAAATTTCTAATTCAAGACATGAAGGAACAGTAAATAAAACTTATGAATGTAGCAGCTAGGTACCGTACATATAAACTAAATAAGAAACAGAAAAAAATTGTGTTAAACAATGAAACCATCTTTTAACAGGTTCATATGTTTTCGTTGCTAGGATAAGTAAACAATACATTTCTCTACAACAACAAATCATTTAATAAATTGCAAAGTTCCAGTATACTTCATTCTCAACACCCCCAACTGACGGCTAAGGTCATCTATCCTCAAAAGTCAGAAGTGGAACATATATAGTATAATAACCTAAGATTTCTAAACGTGATCTTTTCCCCTTCAGGTTGAAAAAAAAAGGAAAGAAAAAAAAACAGTTATATAGAAACTAAATATCAATATTTGTTATATTGTTTACCATCGTAGGGATGCGGCTGTTCTCACTATAATCTTCACACCTTAAGTTCACAAAATCAATCCATAAATCAAAAAGGTGCATCCTTGCAGTTTCCAAGTGCTTAGATTGCTCAGGATTACTGCAAAATGAAATTATACTGTATATTGGCCAGAAATAATGCAAAAAAAAAAAAATAACAAACAAAATACTATGAGCCAATATATAATTATATAAGGAAAAGCCAACAAAGACAATGAACTTAATATGCAAATAAAAGCCAAAAATCAAAATGCATACACACTATCCAGATGAAATTTATAATATCCTAGAAGTTGAAAATTGCTTCAAATCCAAGTTTTGTTTATCTAAAGTATCCACTGCAGTGAATTCAAATTTGATCCCCTTCCATGCTCCACAAACAAGAGTTAGTTCAGGACTCTAATTGCTACCCTTGAGGATTATTGCATTACCCTTGCAAAACTATATTATTCAAGCAACATCCAACTGAAGTCCTAAAACAAAAGGAAACAAGTTAAAACTGTATAAAATAACAATATGATGTCTATTGGCTCAGCTAGTAAGGCAGTGAAAGATGCCATTTTTATTGTACAATGAATATACCTTGGAATGACAGCAAGACCTTGTGCCACTTCCCCTGTAGATGACAAGTATTCCTGAACCTTATCAACAAATTCACTACCCAACATGTTTATCAAGTGCAATATCAATGTCATAGCACTCTTTTCTGAGAAGCTGCCAAGCAAATTAAATACAACATAAGTCAATCTATAGGAACGTCAGAATCCATTTATGAAGCACTCATACAGACAGAGGATGCACGTTATGAGTTATGTGGTGCAATAAGGACCCTCAGAAACAGGATTCCCGGAGGCAATAATACAGATAAACAGTAGACAAGTTAAAATCTGCCATATTTTATATAACCATGCATCTCTCTCTTTCACTTGTTAATATTTCTTTTGAACACTGAATGCTACTCATATAATCCATTAAAAAAAAGAAGAAAGAAGTCAGCTGTAATTAATAAATTATTCGAAATGCAAGTAGAATCAACTTATCACGGACCCATCCACCAGCAACTCGAAGCTGAGTTAGGAGATTGAAGTGACAAAGAGTGTTCAAAAGCCTATCGAAAATCTTCTTCTCCGTCTCTGTCAACTCAATTTGCTCCTTGACTTCGATGCAGGCGGCAGCGACCATGGCTGCTCGGCAGCAGAGAAACGGCGAGGAAATAGAGGTTAGGATATTGGGGCTTTTAGTTTGGATAAGGGTATTGCATTTGGGGGAGCTGAAACTCCGCGAAAAGACAGTACTTTTGGCTGTGGGCAGAGAGAAGGAAATCAGCAGAAGAGGCGCCTTGGCCTTCAACTTTATGGCACTGATCAAAGAGAGCCGCATCGTATCACATGATGTTTCTATTTTTTTCCAATTTATTTTATATTTTGATCACTGAATTATTAATTTATTATAATTCAATAATTTAATTTAAAATAAATGAAATATTAATACGACCTGATTTATTCATTATTTCATATTTTTATGAAAAAAATTCTAAAACCTTTTAACCTCGTAATTCAGTCAAAATTTCTTATATCGATCCTCACTTATTACTATTAACAATTAATGTTTATCGTCGATGATTATTTGATCTTAAATTTTTTTATTTTTTAAACATAAATTTAGTAATAATATACTTTAATTGTTTCACTTTATAAATTTAACCTATAATCTTTCGAATTATTATAATTTGTTTATATTCAATATCCGAAAATATCACCCACAATCAGTTGGTCTAGTGAGATAAAACACTTGATCCCTTAAGCAAAATTAAGGGCTCGAACATTGATGTTTACGAATAGAGTAAACTAAATTAAAAAGATCGATGTCGTCTCTACAGTACTCTATTTGTATTAATCGGTTAATAAATTTAAAATAATAAATTTTCATTATTCTAATTAAAAATTATATAAAAATAGTATATTAATTATCAATTAAAATAAGGATGTTTAAATTATTTTCTAACTGAATTGAGATCTAAACAGATAATAAATAAATTTTACAGAACTTTGAGAACGAGAAATGATATAAAAATTTCATTATTAAAATAAATATTTATAATATATGACCAAAATAGATACTATCACTTGGAGATAATAGGAAGACGGGAACAGAAACAGAAAAGGCTTCGCCTTGTAATGCACGCAAACAACATTTAAACCCTAAAATTCATTTTGTTATAGTTGTTGTCAATTGAAGTCCTTCAATCTTTTCTTGAGCATATCCATGGACTTCTTGCGTGAATTTGTTTTGGTGTTTCTGTTAGAAAGACTCCCAAATATGCTATCTGCCGTATCCTTGAATTTGTCACAAATGATGCCCACTTTCTTGTAATCCAAGGCGTTGTAATTTTTCTGTCTAATTACAGGATTCATAAAATTCTCTGGCTGGCTGCTGGACAACAGGTTTATCAATTGTCGAGCTTCGACCAAGCAACCTCGGAAACTGCCATCCCTGTATACCTCGCTTAGCCCCGTGGTTTGGAACCTCTCGTCTGCGAAATTCTCTAGCATCTTTAGATCATTGTTGATTACGATCACTGCATTGGCGTTGAACCTCTTCACACTATCGCTTAGAAATGCTGCAACGATGGAACTCGATATATACTCGAGAGCCCCGCTTCCAACCTTGTATAAAGCATCCAATGGAAGAATTTGCTGTCCTTTTGACAACAGCGTCTCGAGGTAAAAAACGACCTCATTCATGTACTCGTTGTTGTTTTGGACTAGCTCTTCTGATGTCCAGTTTATGTTTTCTGTGAGTGCCATGAACTCTTCCAACTTACTATTTACCAGAGTCAGGAGAGCTAGATAGGCTTCATCTCTTGATGTTTTTAAGATGGCCTTGGCTGTCAAACCAGCTCGAGGCCGATCGACGGATCGAACTGGAATCCCACACAATTGAGCAGCATATTGTAGGAAAAAGTCACAAGCTCGTTCGAGGTACGATATATTTGCAGCAAGCTGCATGACTTGAGACTCACCAAGGCCGGTATTATGAACTTTATTAAGGACCACTTCATTAAGCACATCAATCAAGAGATTGTCCAAGTACTTGCGCACTATATCATAAAAATTAGGATTTAATCCATATGACAAGTAATCAACGGAGCCTTTGATGAAGGATCGAACAATACGACAGGAATCGGGCACCATAGAGGAGAATGGTGCAATATATGGAAAAGCTGGCATTGTATCTGAAGGCAGAAGATGAAATGCCAAAACATTACTATCATATTCCGAATCCTTCTTCATCATCATCTGGTCACATGTATCATTAGAAATAATGCTCTCAATTTGCTGACGACACTCTTCAACAAGAAGATCGTGGTATTTTTCTCGGCTCTTATCTAATACCTCAAGAATCAAACTCACTTCATACCCATGCTGCCTAAGAGTTGCCCCAAGAAGAGTGATATAATCCTTCACCAATAGAAGGTGAGTTGCGGAATCCATTAGAGCAAACTGTTTATCCAAAACTGGTGCCACTTTAGCCGCAGTTTGTTCCCACATTGTCTCAACTTGTTCATCCAACAACAAACCTCCGGAAGTCCTTAGGACCCTATCTTCCACAATGAAGTAACCTGCAATTTGTGCCAGATATGTTTGATGTGATTCAATGAATGCTTGCGAGGAAGGGATTTGCAAGTCTGAAGTGAGTTGCATTGATCTGTTTTTGTAGTAATAATCCCGAAATTGCTCTTGGAGTCCAAGGCAGGTATGGATGTGATACGACCGATGAAGGGGTGTAAGATCAAACTTCAAAACAGATTCCTCAGCAACATCATCAACTTCTAATTGATACACGAAATCCATGCCAGCCATGTTCATTTCCTCGGCTTTTCTCTGCCGTTCGAGCATTTCCTCGTCTCTCTGGCGAGCCGATGAGGCTTGTCCTATTGCGGTCTGCCCAATATCCTTAGCGGAACTCCTGATGTGAACCAACCACTCGTTAAAGTGTGCAGTCACTTTCTTCTCAATATGTGTTTTTATCATAGGGATGGCCTTTTCTATAACAATCTTGACTTTATTCACAGGGATATTCTGCAAGTAGTTCTTCTCAATTAAATCCACAGCTTTCAAAGCAAGGTAAAACTGGGCTTGTGAAAGGTGCTTGTTACATTTAACACAAAGCTCCAACACTTGAATGCAAATCCTGGACATCTTGATAGCTTCAGTTACACTCTTCTTGATGGAATAAGATTCAAGAAGCTCTTCAAGTTTGAGCAGCAAAGCACTCCCTACCTCCTGCAACCTGAAATTATCACTGGCGAGGTCGCTTTTAAGCTCTTCAGCGTCGACCAAGACGCCCCGAAGCTCATCAACAGCACGAATGAATTCCTCGTAGTGAGTCTTGCAGAGCTCCTCAATCTCCACTTCTTTCTTTTTCATGAGATGCTTCAGTTGCTGAACAAGCGGCTCCGGCCTCCCCATTTCGAATGCATGTCTAACAAGGGGACCTAAATCATCACCATTGCCGATCAAAGTTGCAAGCACCAAGTCTTCCCCTGTCTCACCATTATCTATAGTTGCTCTCCTCTTGTGTGATTTCGAATCCATCGTTATATATATAAAAAAAAAAAAGCAAACAGACAAACGCTGCAAATCCAAATATTCAAAGAATAAAAAACAGAGAATGTTCCGGAAGAGATCCCAATTTGATCCAAAACATAAAGAAACAAAAGAACCCAAAATTTGTCAGATACTTAACACTGGTTTAAAGAAAAAAAAACACATTTGTAAGGTGAAAATAACAATAATAATTGTACCTGGAAACAAGGCAGATGAATGTCTGATCCGAGATGGTTGAAAAGGAAAGATGGGGTTCTCTTTTTCTTGTAATTTTCGTAATGACGGGAAATGGAGATCAGTTGTGTGTTCTGTGCATTTCTCTTGACTGTTTCATTCTGTCTTGATTTTCTCCTTTATTTTCATTTCTCCGGATTGTTTGTCACTTGTTTCGGGGACGACGGACTCAACAAAATGGAATTTCACCAATGATAAACTTCTCTGCATATGATTTTGACCATCTACCATGTTTTTTCACATTTTAGTATAATTTTTTATATTACTTAAATTAAGTAAGAATTTTAATAATATTTTAAAATGTTATCATTTGTAATTATTTTATTTAGATAAATATATTCTAAAGAAATTTAAGTTATTAAAATAAGAATAATGATATTAAAAATAATATAAAAATATACAATATAGATATCTTTAAAATTTTGAAAATATATAAATATTTTTAATAATATATATTAAATTAAATAAAAATAATATTTTGATATTTAAGCTTTTCTATTTTATAGTGTATATAAAATAAAATAATAAATTTAATATACGTTGTGAAAACTAAAATTTAAGTTAATTACATGATGAAATATGAGTGTTTATTATCAAATGGTTAAGAATTTTTTTTAAGTAACAAACAAGCACTGTCAAAAACAGTGTGAGAATGTCGAGCCTCAACCTGCTCTATCCAAGCTGAGTATGTTTCTTCAGGAGACAGACTGAGAAGTATCTTGATTTCCAGCCTATCGTTTGTATCCAAATGAGCTAAAAACGTCGGCCGCTCCATTTGCTTCGCGTCTAACATAGGATAGCTTCACCTTCCATTGGTATCGGAGGAGTTTCCAAATCTTTTGGATGATTGAGACTTTATTCATATGTGGACTGGCGTTAAGTGTTTCCATAACCTCTTTGTTATCAAGTTCAACTTCAACGTCTTTGAAACCACTATTCCAAGCTAGTTGCAGACCATCATAAAGGCCCCATAACTGAGCATGAAAGGCTGGGCATCGACTAATGTTACGATGAAATCCTCCTAGTCAATCTTCCACACTGTCCCTGAGTACTCCTCCAGTAGTAGTTTTGGTGGTTCTTATCTTGGAGGCTTCATCGGTATTTAATTTGATCGTTCTACCATTTGGAGGTCTCCATCTTTGCTGCAAAGATTTTTTTTTGGATAAATAAAAGAATATTATTACCCAATGGCAGCAGTATAATGCTACAGTGCATACATCAAAACAGTTACAGAACATTCATCAAAACAACCTGTGTGGAGCATGAACAACCAACATAGTAATATGGTTAGTCAATACCCCATTGAATACAAAGAGAGATATTGACTCTATCTATTCTATTGATTATCCTATCTCTTAGTTGAATTCTAACAAACTCCTTAATAGCTTTAAGAATTTCATCAATTGTTCTTGAGCTTCTTCTGAATAGCCTTTTGTTTCTTTCTTCCCAAAGAGAATAAATAAATGCAGTCCATGCAAGCTTCAAAATATTTATAAGGAGGGAGTTACCTGTCCAAGTGCTAGATACCCAGAATAATAGTTGATCCCAAGACAATGAAGATCTCCACCAGCCGGTTAGCAGTAAGATTTCCTTCCAGAGAGAGCTTGCAAGTGGGCATTCTATGAACATGTGATCTCTTGTTTCCTGAGACTCATTACATAAAACACATAAACCATCTGTAACAATACCCATATGTTGTAGTCTGACTTTAGTAGGAAGTCTGTTCAAGATAGCCATCCAAGCGATCATGCTATGTTTAGGAATGTGGAGAGGAAACCATATCAGATTATGCCAGAGAACTTTGTCTCGCTTAACTCTTGTCACTTCCCAAATTGCACGAATTGATGTTGCTCCGGTAGAGAATACAACGTTGGCTTCTCGCCTAAGTTTGAGTAATTTCCTGAAGCTCCAGCTGGTGTTTGTACCACTATCGATGAGCCAGAAGTCTTTATCGTTGAGGACATAGTTATTTATCCAAGCAACCCACAATGAGCCTTCACCTGCTAGGATACTTCGAATTAGTTGGATCATACATGCCTTATTCCACGTTTTTAAGTCCTTTAACCCAAGCCCGCCTTCATGTTTCGGTTTGCATATCGTTTCCCAACTTACTCTAGCTCCAGTAGCCGCTTTATCAGAACCTTTCCAGAAAAATCGAGAACAGAGTTGCTCAATCTTCTTAATGATAGATTGAGGAAGAAAAAGTTGTTTGCACCAGTAGTTTGAGCCCATGTCCGCAAGGTTTGCATTATTTCCATCGATAATCAGACATGTCCATTGAAAACAAAACTAATACGTTGCTTCCGCAAATGCCCTAAAATTATTCCAAATATGTGTCTCCAGTAGTAGGCCTCTTGGTCCAATCCTGTAGAGGCATAGATGTTAGTTTGAATCCAAGCAAACAAAGGTAAATGATAGAAATTATTAAGATTATCAATCGGCACTAATTGCTCCCAAACCATTTCAGCTGTCGGACAATCCCGAAGGACATGAATAATTGTTCTTTCACCCCTTGATAAACCGGAGAAATCGAATCTGCTGTCAGACCACGTCTAGCTCTTTCCGAGTTGGTCATTGGCCAGATAAGGAGGATGAGCCAAAGAAATTGTCGAACCCTTTACGGACCATCAAAGTCCCAAGCTAAATTCCAGCACTTGTCCCCCACATCCCAATTTCTACTCTGCATCTCATAGAAAACTGAGCTGACTGAACAAAAACCTTTATGATTCCATCGCCAAGCAGGTTGGTACTTTTCAGTTTATTGTTCTAAAAGTAAAATTTTTTAACATTTAATGTTTTAAGGCATAATTATAAAATAAGTGCTTAAACAATAGCGTTTTTTCACAATAAGTACATAAACTATTTTTTAAATGACCCTATGCTTAACTTTACAAACGTTACTACTTTAGGTGTCATGCCATAAACGTCGTTAATTTCCTCCGTTAAGTGACACGTGTCACATTCTAGTAATTTTAAAATTTTTATATGAAATTAAAAAATTAAAATTATATTTAAAAAACAAAGATTTTGAAATAGCCCCAAAACTTTAAAAACCTTCATTTCAACCCCTAAACCCACATCGATCGCCACCCTTTGTGGTTGACGAAGCTCCACACTACCTCACCACCCCTCAGTGATCAATACCACTATAAAATCATGATTGTTTGACGACCGATCAATGGTCAATCGACGTTTTGTACCCCGCAAAACTTATGATGAAAATTTTGATCACACGCGATTCTGACGGCCAGTCGGCGACAACTACAACAACAACAACACATGACTAGAAAGATGTCAAAGACTATGTCGGCAGTGGTGATCATTGTCGAAAAAGGTGACGATGGTGGGATAGGGTTAGGGATTTAGACTTTTTATGAATTCGAGTTTTTTTTATAATTTAAGAGAAATTAGGATTTTTTTATAAATATATATAATAATATTTTTAATCTAAAAATTCAAAATTACCAGAATGTGACACATGACACTTATAAGAGAAAACCAAGAACAGTTATAGCTTGAGCACCTAAAGCGGTAACGTTTGTAACAGTAGAGATCAGGATCATTCAGAAAATAGTTTAGGCACCTATTCGTGAAAAAAACATTATAGTTTGGGCACTTATTTAATAATTAAGCCATATTCCAATTATGTTTGTTTATTATATTAATTTTTTTATTAATAAAAAATCAAAATTTTCCCTCATAAAAAATTCAAAAAAAATGTTAAGCAATGTAAGTATATGCTAGTTATCATTAAGGTAAAGTATACAATTGGTCCCTTGACTATAGGATGATACTTTGTTGAGTCCCCTGACTATTAAAAGTTACAAAATGATCCTCTGACTATAGAGTGTTGCTTTATTGAGTCCCTCGACTATTAAAAGTTACAAAATGGTCACCTAACTATTCATTATGTTCTAAGCTCGTCATTTTCTGTTAAGATATTGACGATAGTCTGAGCTGAACGTTAAACTATTGATTGTGATATGATAACTCCCGATCCCAGAATCTTAAATAACTATCATATCTCAGTTATCATGTTAACGTTCAACTTAGACGATAGTTAAATTTTTAACAGAAAATGACGAATTTAATGAATAATCAGGTGACCATTTTGTAACTTTTAATAGTCGAAGGACTTAATAAAGTAATATTTTATAATTGGGGGAACGTTTTTGTATTTTATCATATCATTTAATATTACAAATATTAAATTGATAATATTCTTTAAAAATTTAAAATATATTATGCTCTATCTTTATAAAAGTTTAAATATTCAAATTATTATATTTAAAATATCAAAATAATATGAAATACTATATGATTTAAAATTATAAACCCTTCACGCACAAAAAAGTTAAAATTATAAACTAATACATTTTAAAATTAATATTTACTATTATCAAACAACATAATTATATTATACACTTATTTTCTTAGGGTAGAGTACAATGGTTCCTCGATTATAGGACATTTTACTATTGAGTCGTTGATTATTAAAAGCTACAAAATGGTTCTTCGACTATAGAACGTTGCTTTTGTTGAGACCCTCAACTATTAAAAGTTACAAAATGATCATTCAACTATTTATATATTTCAAATTCGTCTTTTTTCGTTAAAAAATCGATTGTCATCTAAGATTGGCATTAACATGTTGATTAGGATATGATAGTCGTTTGAGATTCTGAGATCAGATTTTATCATATTTCAGTCAGCATGTTAACATCCAGCTCAGATAGTCGTCATTTTTTTAACGGAAAATGACAAGTTTGGAA